GGCTGATCCGGGGAAGGGGGGGGGATGGGAAGCCCTGCGCCCTCCTCATACATGCATAAAGCATTGCGTCTACAATAATTTAAATGATGTAATTGGGAGGGCCCGTTTGGCACGGATTTATTTGAAGTGCGAGATAACTTTCATTTGTGCAGAAGTATGTCTACTTTTTCCTTGTTTCGCTTGCTTTTCGTTTTCTTATTAGCAATAATTTGGTTTTGGAAGCGAACAGACCAATAAATCATGATGCGAATTACCTTCCTCAAGAAGTTCTCCGTTACAGCTGGAGTGCATAATTGAAAGGGACTTTGGGAGGCAATGAATGCAGAATAAATTCGAGCAGAAAGCTTAGGGGCACGGCAAGAGGCAGTGTAGATTTCTTTGAGCATTTCTTCGAATTTCAAGAATGTTTGGAACACTTTGTTTCTATAGATAAATTACCGAAGTCGCCTCAAAAAATTTCTGACCGGGCAGTTAAATTTGTGAAAGTTTGATAAGCTTTTGTGGAGGCTTGCTCCTCTTTAGGCTCTGTTAAAATTTTTGTACAGATTGAACATCGATGCTTTTTGAGGAACTTAAATGAAAAATAACCACGAACATAATAAATTGCGTTTGCTTCGACGATATCAAATTTTTTTAGTAATTGTGAGAATTCACTACTCTCTTCAACATCTTCACCATCCAGTGTTTCAGGATCCACCTCATCGGAAGCACCAACAATTTCAATTTTTTCAATTTCAACTTATTCAAATTTTTCAATTTACAATATAATACAACAATAATAACAATCAACTACCTTCATCCATGAGTTCACTCGTGTGGATGAGTCAGTTATACCTACATATTTAATTTTCAAATTTTTAAAACAATAACAATAACATCCTCCTCTTTCTCTGAAGCTCCCAATTCAGTGATAACAATACGCTCCAGCTCTTGCGGAAGAAGTTTGGCTGGTGTAAGGTTTTTGATGGATACGATGAACTTTCCAACATCATTTTCACAATTTGTTGATTTCGTTTCTGGATCCGTCTATGTTGACAGCCTGCTACACACGCTGTTCCTTCGATTTCTGAGGTATTCAGCTCTAGGCATTAAGGAGGAGGTTCAACACGTCTTCTTGTTGCTGATCATCACCATCAGACCAAGAAAAGTGTCAACTCCCGGGAACAACTAATACTTTACACTGATGGTAAGCCTTTCGTTCGAAGTAATTTAAAAATGTAGTCTCCAAGCGCTAAAAACAATGAAAATCGAAACCAACAGAACCGCATTTGATGATACCAAACGAAAAGAAAACGATAAATACAGACTAATGCAGGAAGCATTATGTTTCATAGTTTCAGCCATACGTAAGAGGCACTCAGGCAACATAAAATGCAATTCAGCCAATTTTCGGTTTATGCTATCCGAGTATCGATCACGTTGCCACTTACTTCTAGAAATGACCGGCAGTGGCGTGGCTTGCTTTGCAATATATCGATAGATTTTCCATTTAAACCTGTGGTAAAGAATCGATCATTAAGGTGATCGCTGCGAACACCCTGTTTATCGACCCTTTTCCAAAGGTTTAAATGGCATAACAATCAATATATCACAATTCACGCCACGCCACTGATGACCGGGTCAATTTAGCTCTCCCAGTTGTTTTTGCTACGAACTGAATCCGAATGGAGCTAGGAGAAACGACAGGAGAACCAGTGGCGTAGTGTGCTTTGCGATATATCGATTGATTTGCCATTTGAACCTTTAGGAAAGGATCGATAAACAGGGTGTTCGTAGCAAACCCCTTAATAATCGATTATTTACCATAGCTTTGAATGGCATGACAATCGATTCATCGCAACTCACGCCTCGCCACTGAGGACAACCCGCGTCGGGTCCTGCCTACGATTAAAAACTGGAAGTTTACGAACTTTCCAAGCTTCAACATTGCCACATAACCTCGATGCGGTGCAGAATCGACACGAAATCGGTGAATTTTCCGGTCGATCTGAAAACGGCGTGGGAAGATCGTCTCAAACGTGATCGCGCGTGGGGAAGTGGGAAGTTGGCATTGCGGGCTGCGCTATTTGAATGAATTTCTATGCGGGCGTGTGCATTGCCATCCCGGCCATCAAATCGTCCGGAAAATTTGAATTTTCCTCCGTTTTGTTCAATATAGCGTGTGCGGATTTTACTGTGCAATCTTGCAACCTCGATTGCCGAACTAAGAGAGAACCGCCTATCTACATCGGGTCTCCATTGGTTTTACGCGGTTTGTGAGTAGCAGAGCAATGTAAACTAGGGTGCTTTGCGGATGAATGTAAGTTGTAGTGGTGGAGGCTCCCAGCATGGAGAAATTAGTGTTTGTTTGGTGGTACTTGTCTAAGTTGCGTTGCTGTGAATTCTTCAAATGGGAAGGGGTTTGAGTTAACATTTTTTCTCAATGACGTATTTGAGGGTTATAAATGCACATTCTGCTGTTCAATGACTCCATGTGAGTAATCAATTAATGTTCGTCCTAACTCCTAGTTTCCGTCCATTATTGACGGAGATATCTGATGCGAAAGAGCAAGCGCGAAAGTAGAATTCGATTTGACGCAATCGTTTGGCCATGGTATTGGACTGTTGGTACTGTAAAAGTGACATGAGTAAAATTTACTAGAGTAGAACCATGAGCAGATAATACAGTTCAAGAGTGTCTACTCAATCTGGTGCAAGGTTTCTGTATGTGATAAGTAATCCTCAAAAATGACCTACGTGAATTTTCCCGATTTGTGCACGACAACTACTTTGCTCCCGTATCCAGCACGAATTCGTTCACGTTAACTGGAACTTCGGTTCCAAATTTGTTCTCGGGTTCCTGCATGCACTCTTTACACTGACAGCAAACCATCCGCAGTTAATGCATATCATTCGGTGTAACGATACGTTACTTCATTACGCGGATCGATTAATACGTCCGCAATTTTTTTGCCCCGGAAAAGAAAATGTACGATGAACCTCAGCGCGATACTCAATACCGGTTTGGTCGCAGTTGATCACTAACGGGGGATTAAAGTCCTTAATTTTCGCTCGCACAGAATTTTGAAATTTTGTCGCAATTTCTACAACTTTATCGAATGAAAGTGCATTGGCCGATTTTATACATCAAATACAGTGACCTATTGAACGACGTGAAAGAAAGGGGTAGTTTTCGAATATTTTAATGACCGAGAGAGGGAGCATAAAGCCATGTTTGCATCCCTGTCTCTCTCATAACATGAAGAAAACAAGGAAGGAAAAACGGGAAACAAGGTTAAAAATACACAATATAAACCGAGACGTCTCGACTGAGAGCAGAGTCATTTTCAGTCGGAGAAAAACACTGACAAAATATACAAATCAATTTTAAAAATCCAAATATATGAAATGATATACTGATGTCACAGAGATATCGATGCCGGCACCGTTGCCCAATACTGCCGCACTAAGGAAGAACGCCGTATGAACCTTCAGGCGTTGCCAAATTTTCTCTGACAAAACTCGAATTTCCTGGTAAACTTATGAATATATTTCATCCAGTTTTTCAGATAATTTGGCTCGCAACTTCACCGAAAAGTCCTGAAAATTTCGAGGGAAAATATTCATAACTTTCCTAAAAAATGAACAATTTATCGCGGGAGATTTGGCAACTCTCGAATGTTCATACGGCGTTCTTTCTTAGCACGGCAGAATAAACTACCAACACGCAAGTTCGACGCAAGTTATATCTCTCATCACAGCTCGATCTGCGCTCGAATAATAACCCGAATTGTTGTTAAAATATTTTGAGACCCACATTTGATTGTTGCAGTCTCATTTCTCCAAGCGCTCAGGTTTTCGCGTCATCGCGAATATGAATCGTAAATGTTCCGGGCATAATCCAGCGTTTTATTGAAATCACTCGACTCTCAATTGAAGCCTATCAAATGGCAATTCTGTTAAATCACGCCAGTACTCACATCCAAACCTGCTAATCCGCAACAGGTTTCATTACTTCGGAATTTCTATTCCTACGCTTAACGGCCGCATTGTTCAATTTAACGAAATTATTAGGTTTCTGGCTGCTCATGATTGAAAGAAAATAAAGTATTGAGCTTTTAGCTGATTCAGTGGAAGTGTGGTCGCTAAAGTGGACCTTGGCGAAGCCACGGCCAAATGTCCTTGGTGGCTTTTGGGTCTTCGCGCCGGTCTTTGCTTTCAAATTGTTTTATTGATGTTACGACGTGAAGTAGTGAATTTGTTAATGTTGGGTTTTAATTTTGGAAACTGTCCTATGTTGTTGTGCCGTGTGTGACGAAGGAAAAGGTGGCTAACGGACTAAATTTTGTGTACTTGTGCTTGTACTGTTGTGTATCCCCATGGGGGTTGTAAATCCACACAAATTTGAATTCCACACAAATTCCACAAATTTGAATATACACAATACAATACACAAAATACAATACATGAGAAATACTTAGTGAGCTTTGAACTATCAACCTAAGTTTGAAAAGACGAAAATAAAGAGGCTGTGCAAATTACAAAAATAAATATCTTGAGTTGGGTGCCTGCCCCCCACCGTGAGGGGAGATATCCTAAAAAATTAACGAGAAAGAAAAAAATTCTGTCAGGCTGACAGCTAAGCATGGTGACCAAAACGGTCTAGGCTAGCCGCTCAAGGAGCGCCTTAGCCTCGGAGGGGTACAGTCTTTTCTTTGACCCATCCTGAAAAAAGAGCACGAATTTTTTAGGATGCTTCGGTGGATTCGTGTCGTGCAGCTCGACAAAATTTTGAAGCTTCCTCAAAGACCGCGGAACGGGCCGAGGTTCGGTCGGTGAGCGGGTGGCCTGGCTTGCAAGGGCAGGCGCCGTACGCGTGACGGCTCTGAGCGAGGAGGAGCTAGGCCGCTCTAGATATGCGATCAGAGATTGCGGCGACATGCTCTCCATAGGCAGCGTCGTCAAATCGACGACCTGATCGACTACAAGATATGAACGCGGCGGCGGAACTCAGAGGTCAGCTAAGAAAGTAAATTGGTCTCTGGCGGGCCAGAGAAAGCAAGAGGGCCTATGGAGATCAGTTGCCCTTCGGATAAGTGGGCTACTTTGTTGTCGAAGACCTGATTTTTAATTTCGATGCGCAACGAGGAGCCTAGTTCGAGGCGATCTGGCAGCACGATCTGTGCCCGCCTAGATACAGCCTCCATACACATCAACATCAAAGGGCCACAATCTACGGTGTTGTTCTGCTGTGGGCAAACACCAGCATAGCAGTTCCAATGGTCAATTTCAAAAGTATTTGGGAAACATGTTGTTATGAACCCTAACATACACTCTAAAATGTACTGCGCATCTTCGTCGCAATACCTACTGTCAAATACAATTATCACATGGTTCTTTAGATCCACTACAGATAATGCCCAATGGTTATAGTGGACATTGCAGGGCACTAAAGTCAAGTCCGTAGAGCGCAAATGGGTATCTTTAAGGAATTTGGAGGCAATCTCTGCGCCGTCCCTTTGGGAGGCTTCGAAGAAAAATGTGTCGGCTAATTTTATTTTCAGATTTTCGTTGGAGAGGTCACGCTCCTGGAGCAAGTATCCATAGTGGTTTATCAATACATCGTCAATCCACTGATTTAATAAAAATCGGGCAATAGATTCGGGAGGGCACTCCATTGCAAAAATTTGAGAATAAGAGACGTTTAAAAAAGAGATGTGTAAATATGTTCAAAAAACTCACAATGTCAAAATCAAAATTTCCGAAAAAATGTTTCGACAACAAGAAAAAAAATTCGACAAAATAAGATTAGACTTGCATCCACATCTGGCTTGCAAGCTAAAGAGAGGAAAAGATCGATTTAGAAGCAAAACCGCATTTAAAAAAAAGAAGAGAGAGCTCTCTTGCATCCACATTTGGCGTGCAATCTACCCGTGGCCAGACCAGGTTAGACTGACATGAACATTTCTTATACCTGCCAATTGCTCAATTGAATTCCTCTGTATTTTTTTTTATTTTTTTAATCTAACCGCACGTCTTGCAGAGCAAGAGAAATCAGAGCCTCTTCCGCTCCAACCCTGTTGGGTCAGGCAAGAAAAGATTTTCTCAAGGAAGTAGACAGATTCTTTCGCTGACTTTCAGCAAACATCCGGTCTTGGGAAATTTGAGGAAGACAAAGAAGATCAACAACGGTTCGAGGATGTTCTTGGAAGTAAAATACATGCCAGTGCCGGGGTGCTCGTTGGAAATAACAATGTCCACTAGTTCAGACTCGGATCTGGGGTCGTGAACCACCCTAGCCATCAGGCAAATGTCTTGCACAAAATCAGCGAACGACTCATCCTCACACTGGAAACGATCGACCAAAGTATATTTCAGCCTGCGCTCCATCAGGGCTGGTAGCAAACCTAAAGCTGCCTGATGAATGATGTTAAAATCACCACCGGAATTTAACCCTTGGGTGACACAATAAGACAGGGGAGGGTTATTGATCGGGAGAATGCCTTCCAAAATATCCACATCCACACTACTTATTTTATCTCTAATGCGAAGAGCCTTTTTTAGAAAATTGATTAGTTTCTCAGGATCCAAACCATTTGTTTCAGGCAAACCCTGCAAAAACCGAGTCATGGGGTTCGGTATCTTACCGTAAAGTTTGGAGTTTCGAAACCAAGAAGTTTCGCCAGAATAAGAATGATGTTCACCAGAAAAGGGCCTGATATCACAATAAGGAGTTGATTCTGAAGAAGCTACACCCCCTATTAAGTGGTAACTTCTGGTTTTCCCTTCCTCTATTTTTCGTAGCGGCCCTTCTGCATACCAAAGGGCGATTCAATCCTCGGTGGTAACCAGCCACAAGGCGGCGGTTAAAGCTTGTTGAAGGTCATCTGGAACTTCGACCTCGGTCTCGGTGGTAACCAGTCACCAGTCGGCGGTTGCATGCAGCTTGTTGAAGGTCATCTGGAACTTCGTCTTCATCCTCGGTGGTAATCAGCCACCAGTCGGCGATTGCAGCTTGTTGAACGTCATCTGGAACTTTGGTCTCGGTGGTAACCAGCCGCCAGTCGGCGGTTGCAGCTTGTTGAAGGTCATCTGGGACTTCGTCTTCGTCCTCGGTGGTAACCAGCCACCAGTCGGCGATTGCAGCTTGTTGAACGTCATCTGGAACTTTGGTCTCGGTGGTAACCAACCAGCCACCAGTCGGCGGTTGCATGCAGATTGTTGAAGGTCATCTGGAACTTCGTCTTCGTCCTCGGTGGTAACCAGCCACCAGTCGGCGGTTGCAGCTTGTTGAAGGTCATCTGGAACTTTGTCTTCGTCCTCGGTGGTAACCAGCCACCAGTCGACGGTTGCAGCTTGTTGAAGGTCATCTGGATCAACGGGTAAAAACGGTCCGGGCGGGGTCGTGCTAGAAGGCTCCCGTGGTTAAGGCCAAATGGGCGCGCCGTGGGGTTGTTTCGCTTGATGCGAGCTTTGAAGGGTTCTCAATTTTTTTCCTAGGCTCCTTCTTGGATGGGCCAGGACGGATCCTAGCCGTTAGTTGAGCCAGCATGGACACGGCTCTGGTCTTAATTCCGTAGATGGAGGCGCAGCGGTTGCTGCGCTGGGTCCTTCGCCGGGGCTGGGTTTGTGGCTCACCCAGGAGAGTGTAGAGTTGGCGCAGGTGCCCAGCCGGTGTCGGTCCCTGCATGGTTGTGAGAGAGAGGTTTCGCCCTAAGGCAATTAAGAAACCAATAGGAAAATCACTATAGGTGTTAAAGGTTCTCAAAATACAAAGTACAAGAAGTCAAGTCTACAATTTAATCACCAATGAAAAACAGGATAATCGCTCAACTTTTGTTTTCACATTATGAGTAGCCGAAAACCGAAAAATCTTGCAATTCAATCATTATAGGTAGCTACATGGTGTTAAGGAAGGTTAACAAAATACAAACTACAAGAAGTCAAGTCTTAAGTCCACAATTTAATTTAGTAATTTGTTCAATTTTTATCACTTAACGGTTCATACCATGATTCTGCTGGCGGTTTTTCCGTCATTAGTGGCGTCGTACCTGTAGCAGTGACCCTGTTTCACAAAATCTATTCTCAATTCATTTCGAGGTTTCCGTTGTATTGTAGTGGGAACCCTATGGGGGGAAAATGGAACCACACTTTATATCTTATGATGTACACTATATTCTTGACAAGCTGCTCTTACAGGGGCTGGACCGGGTTATGTCTCGGGTCTTGAAACCTCACACCGACTAACCCCGCACGAGCGGCTTCCGCGAGCTTTTATGCCAACGCCCGAAGCTTCCGTGCCCAACTCCGACTTCCGAATCGCCGGAAGCCGGGGTCACTCTTGCCGCAAGCTCCGCGCGCGGACATAAACAATCGCGTCTCAAAAACTCGCATCTAACACGTCTGACCCTGTCACTCCCTCCAAGTGGATCGGTAAAGACCTCGCAGGTCTTTAGCCGATACCACTACAGTATGTCTTTCTTTTTATTCGCAAAATCTTTCTGATACCTCTCGTCTAACTCCTTATTCCTTTCCGGGTCTTTCACGTTTCTTCTTCTTCTTTTTCCTCTTGCTCACAACTGCATCATCTTCATAATCGCTGCTCAAATCGTTCAACGCTTTCCCAATTTCTCCACAGATATGTGTAAAGTCTTTGGGTCGGTTTGATGTCCGTTATTGCATTGCAGGCTTTTCCGTCTATCATGCTACAAATTAACTCATGTTGAATTTTGTAGGTATCGGCTTCAGTTCGGTTCGACCGAGGTTACCGCGCGTCTTCATTGGGAGTTAACATTGACCAGCAGGCCGATTATTGAAACTGATAGACAAAGCTATAGACAAAGACGATAAAAGGGATTTGGAGGGATCCTATTGGTGGAAGCGGGTGGTGGCAATGGACATAGGAGGTACGTAATGGACTAACTAACGGCAACCCACCAAAGACCCGATGGTTAGTCCATCATTTTCTTCCTTAGTCTATAAGAACCAACCATGTCAACCACCTGATCGCTCTCTACTCCGTATGTCTTCTTTGTCTATCGCTTTGTCCAACAGTTCCAATAATCGCCCCGCTGCGGGTCGATTCTTGAATCGTTATCGAATGACCTTGATCGATATATAGCATTGTTAAGATCGGGAGTTATCGTTGAAGTTCATTAGATAATGATTCAACAAGCCGCTGGCGCAAGTATTTCAACCCCGCGGAAATAGATATTGCAACCCCACTTGGCCTCCCCCAGGCTACCCTTAAATATGTCCGCGGAATCCTCTCCGTCTAATCTGCATGCTCTTCCGGAAGTGAAGTCTCCTCTAATCCACCAAGAAGACGCAATGGACCACTAGACAGGGTACGAATTTAAGCATTCTGATACATGTTTCTTAACCAAAATTTCACGTAGAACACGATTCGCGCAACGAAAATTACTGAAACCAACTCTTAGCGAAGATATTAACCTTTTTATTTCACATTGGTTACCAGAGGTTGCCAGATTTTTATATCGCTGAGACGTTCATGATAACGTTTAGCGCGCGATGTGAATCACGTAGAGCATTGAGTTTTCATGAGCGGGTCGTTTGAACTCACGCATCAAGAATCATTAAATAGCTTCGTAAGGAGTTGATTATTGTAATTTCCGTTGTGCGCATCGTGTTCTACGTGGAATTTTGGTTGAGAAACCTGTATCAGAATGCTGAAACTCGTACCTTGTCTAGTGGTCCATTAATATTAGAGGGCCATCCTGTAACGCGTCAAGAGGGGTATTTGCCAGCGTTACGCGGCGGTACAGGGGGTAGGGGGTAAAGAGCAAATCGTTACGTAAGGAGTTTAAGTAGATTTTTTTCGAGTCACCGTAGAGTTTGTCGTCGGTCTTTAGAAGTTCTAAAGAGTCTCGAAAATATTCCCCGCAATATTCTCACTTTTCCTAACTCAACAGAAACGCCAATCCGTTCAAGAAATGTGACGTGATATTAAGATTATTTTTATCAACATTTTAAGTTTAGTCTTTAGAAGCGTGTGGCTAACTGTGTCTAATGCCTTCTTTAAGTCCGTGGCTATCACGACAGAACATTTTGCGGACTTTTGTAAGGTTTCGTGATAGTATCTTATCGCGTCCTCGGTGTTGAGATTTCTTTGGAATCCAAATTTATTTTCGAAAAGCAATTTGTTCATTTTTAGAAAGGTATTTAACTGCGTTACCATTAATTGGACTGCATTTTGCAATTCAGAGCTATAAATTCTAGCTCATCTGAAAAACACGTATGTGCATAGGAAAACTAATGGCTTATACGTTGTTTTTAAACCGAGCCGGAATTTATAGTTCCTAATTGCAAAATGTAGTCCAATTGCTCAAGTATTTTAGACAATGGAGACACCAGAGCAATTGGTCTATAGTTGTTCATTAACTGCTTACTGTCACTTTTACGGAGGGGGATCATCTTTACAGATTTCAAGAGCTTGGGGAAACAACAGTCGAAGATGAAGGAATTTGTTAAGTTCATTCAAAATGGGAGGGGGGCTCGGGAAAGCGTTACGTAATTTTTACGGGGGTCTAGCACAGCGTTACGGAGCGTTACAAGCGGGTGGGGGTGGCAAAAAACAGCATATTTACCGTTACGTATTTTAGGGACAGCCTTAACTAAAAAAATCTTTCCTTTTCCTTCAAAACGCCAAACTTTCCAA